AAAAAAAAAAAAAATGGCCGGCCAGCCGGCAAAACCGGCCGTGCATGGTGCGGCCAACCGGCTTTGCCGGCCGTGCTTGGGCCGGCCAACCGGCAAAAAGAAGGCCGGCACGGCTACGGCCGGCATTCAAGGCCGACCAGCCAAAAAAAAAAAAACTTATTTTTATATTAAAACGGATAAAACTGTCTTTTTGAAGGACGGTATTTAGTAAAAAGGGGGCGATATTTAACAACACCCTACTATAATTTGTAAACCAACTAGTACTACGTACGTGGACACCAAATTAATCTGAATTTCATAGATTGTACGTGTTGAATGCGCTAAATTATTTCACAATATTACTACTAAATTCTTTAGTACGTACCAATTAATCATTTTTATATATTTTTGTTCATCTATACTTATATTAAAGGTGTTCATATTTACTAAATATAGTTGTTAGAAAAGTCATACTTAATTAATGAATTTCTAATTTTATCAAGTATTTAATTAATCCATTTAATATTTTGGGTATGCAAATCAAATTAGCATCTAGTTAGTTCCTAAAATATTGGGTATGCAATTCCTCCCTATATAAAATTCTCGAATGCGCTGAGCCTACGTGGCTGCATCTGATGCTTCGGAATCTTACTTGGCAAAGAATCGTGCTTCATAATTAGGTTTGGACAAATAATATTGATATATTAATAATTAATTAATAATATAGGTTCGGACATTCCATAAATATTATTTATCTAACTTAGGTATTTTAATATCATTTGTACTAATATAACCCTTTAATTATTTGTAATTTTACATAGTAAGACACTAAGTGACTAATATATCTATGACTTTGATTTGTTTCCTTCAATTAGCTATTGAATTGTAAATGTATTTTAAAAGTTGATAACTTTTGTATTTCTTATCGGTTTTACATATATTATATATCAAATTAATCATCTTTTGATGATCTTCGATTTGACATCCATATTGTATATATGAAATAAATAAATTATATTTATCTTTATAATAATAAAAAATAATAATCTTTATTAAAATTCATTACAAAAATAAAATTATTTATCAATTCATGTATTTATTTTTAATGTAGTTATATGTTGTAAGTTAAAAAATTATTATAATATAGCACATGTAAGTAGCACAAATAAAAAGTGTCATACTAAATATATAATAATATTTATATTTTTATAAAAGATATTTAAATTTTCAACTACTTTTTTCTTATTAATTTTATATTTTAAGAAAAAAATTAGCAAGCACCCGTGTAATACACGGGTGTTGTACTAGTTAATTTATAAATATCCATGTAATTCCTAAAATGTTGGTATGCAACAAGTAAAAGAAGATTTTTTAATTTTTTTTAAATATAAAATATTGCAACACGTAAAACTATTCTAGTTATTTTTTATTTTATTTTACATATAAAATATAATCAATATTTAATGCATCCTACAAAATTAGATTTAGTTTAATTCTCCATACAATTGGTTGTAACTTTTTCAGTTGTACTTTATTTATTTATTTATTTTACACTTTTAAATTAATGTAGCTCTCCGAAAATACCAAATCAAATGATTTATGAAAGTTTTTTTTTTTTTTAAAAGAAAAATTTAAATCTATATACCCAGCTCAAAAAACTCATTGCATAAATATGGACGAGTTTAAGAAAATTTCATAACCCAGCTTACATATTTGTGACTTATGAGACACGAACGCATAACTCCATACATATTTGACAGAGGGCGGCTTAATAACTTTTTAGACTTGGCGTTGATTAAAAGAGGTAGAAAATAGATAATAACATTATTACTTTTTAGAATTAAACGGACAAGGCTGTGAAAATAACTCATTTAATATCTTTGTCTCGTGCATCGCACGGGGTACGTACAAGTTCTCTTTTATAGCTAGCTAAAGTTGTCATTTACAAGTAGCAAGTACATTAGCTATTTTAGACTCATATAGATTAAATTAAATAGGTCTCGAATGTAAATTGTAACCTAATTGAATTTTTCATTCTCAAGTCATACTCCGCCTTTAATTTCAATTCTTTTTTTTTTCTCCTTCTTCTCTTCGTACCCCCAATA